ACAATTGGATTTTAGATCTGTCAACTGTGGTGCATGTTCTGAAGATTTTTGAGGGTGCTTCTGCTTCATGGGTTACTTCATGCTGTATTGGAGAAGCAATAATTTTATACCTAGAAATTCAAGTATAGTTGCATATGAATGCTGAATTTAGATTGTGCAGTCAGTTGTAAAATGGCCAAAATCACCATTTTAATATTTTTTTATGCAGTTTTGATAATTACCTTTATGAACTTTGTTGGATACTTGTTTAAATGTTTAAAATTAATGCTTTCTAAATGTTTTTCTTCCTTTGTGATTTCATCTAATTCATCAAATCCATCTATGCCCCATGATGTCCACAGTGTATACCATAGTTTCAAAAGGAGTTTTTGGCTAACTTGCAGAACGTTTTGATTGTCTCATGATCTGGGAAAGTTCCTATCAACCATGACAATTCCTTTAGTATCAAGAGGCCTATTAAAATGCAGTATACTCCTTTGTCATTTATCATTTTATGAAAAGAGAAAGATGGAATTGATTTGTGTCAGCGTACACTTAAGTGGCTTAAAATTTGAAGACAAAAGTATAACATTTAGTATAGTTTGTGTCAATATAGAATTGTGATTGAGGTTAAATCGGTTTGATACATAGTACCTTGCAAGTTTTTCTGTGGAACTAAAATTTGAATGTGATTTCTTACCATTTAGTTAACTCTGTAAGCAATACCAAAATTGACCCTTAATTGTAGTTACCTCTTCAGTCTTTAGGTTGTTTTTTTAAATTGTTAAAGTACTACGTTGTATAGTGATTTATAAATGCCATTACCAAATAGCAATAGGGCAGAACTGCAAGTCGGATGTAATTGGAGTTACCATGTCAAAAGTTTATTACTCTACCTGTTTCTAAGATGCAGTACACATTCCAGTGATTTGTATTTAAGAAATCAAACTAGCAAAAAAAAATTAAGGGCAGATCTAATTTTATGAATATTTTTGTGCTTTATTGCATGTATGCTGTATAAAGCTTGGCATTCCTTGACTGTGTGTTTAGATGATTAACCAATAGAAGAACCAAAGTATACCATTTAAGATGTGTATAGGATATCGATATCAGCTAGTTTGCTAAGTATAATGTTTACTTGATTTATTCCCTCTGTAGAAAAGCCATAGAATGCAATTATGCATTAATAATAGTACTTACGTAGTAGCTTTCTTTTTTCTAACTATACCCTCTTTTACCCTTTCTATTGAAAAGTTCAACTTATAAAGTGTGCTTGGCATAGTCTTTGTTACTTTAGGGATTGTAGGAAACCAATGATGCTGTTTTATATATGCGAGCCAAGCTCTTGCGATGTTGTAGCTATTTAATTTCCTTACAGTTTTACTATTTGTGTGGTTTGACAGTCCTTATAAAGGTTTTCAATCCAATCTTCTTGGATGTTACTTAAGTTTTGGTTTCATCTTGTTAATTTGTCAGAAACTTAAACTCCCCATGAAATCTCTACTGTCTTCTGCATTCCAAAATAGTAGGTCTCAGGTTTTAAACAAAAATAATCAATAGTGGCTTCTCATACAGTATTATGACTCAACAGGAGAGAATGTATTTCTGGCAAAAGGAGCAAGAATTACTTAGTGCGCCAACAATTCAGTCTATCCTGGTTGATTTGTAGCAGTGTATATTATTTCATTTTACAGTAGATTTCTCTTAAAAATAGCTATTTTTTAATGGAAATAGAGATCTCATGATATGTAAAGAAGAGTGGTTTCCTGTTTGAAGTTTCACCACAGTCATGATGTTGACAATCAATATTTGTGAGCACTTCTCAAAAGAAACCGTTGCTTGTTGAGGAAAACGAAGCATTCCTCTGTTATGAAGAAGTCTGACTTTAATTTGAAGTGCCAAATAAGGTTAATATGGACATTTAGTAATACAGTACTAACACATGCACTTCTCATATTTAGTTCTGATGTTAAGCTGAAATTGGTTTAGTAATTTATTATCTTGCATACCTATTTCAAAGGTTGTCTCTCAGTTTTATCTTAATCATTCTTGTCTTCATTGCCTTGTGTATTTTGTTCTCAAGGAAGAAGGCTCCAATTCGTCAATCTTGCATTTTAATTTTGCATGGTGACATTGTGATATATTATAAAATGGAGCCCTTTTCCTTTAGATGACATGCAAAAAAATTTCATTAATTAATACTCAGGCTAATGTCATAAGATTTTGTGGCCGAAGATTTTAATTTAAAAGTTAAAAAAACCTTCTAGTTTTTCTGTTGTGTTTACCTGCACTTGATTGATTCCACATTTTCTGTAGCTGTTCCTTATTTGTGTTTTGTTTGAAAAGACCGAAAATCTTCAACCTTTCAGTTTAGGGTCATCAGGCCATTTTACCAGATAAATGTTTTCTCCTTATTTTGTACTACTCACAGATGAGGCAAGCAAATGCATCATATTTTATTGCTTAGTGTAAGGTTGTCTACCTCAGTTGTTTTCTACCTATTGTTGGTGTATGTAATGATTGAAGAACAGAGAGTACAAAGCTGTATTGAAATATTTTTATAGACTTTTCTTTCAATATGTTATATTCAGAGCAGATAATTTGTCATTGAGTACCTTTGTATGTCACCCCTTTTTGCTGTGGATTCTTCTCTTTTCTCTGTTTCTGGTTGCACTTTTAGTACAGTTTGTTTTTGAGGAGCTTGTCTGTGATATGTTTTGTAGTGATTGAATGTAACAAGTGGGATGTATCTTCCAAACCTTCTGTATATTTAAAAGTACATTTATAAATACATACATATATATCATTTCTTTCGGTAATAAACTAGTTGGTTTGTATGTTGATCTTATCACTTTATCACCCTTGTGATATTTGACAACTGAGTTTCCTCTTCATAACAGCTTATTAAATTGTAAGGAGTCCAATTTTTCAAGCTGTAGGTAACACACATTGCTAAGACATACATTCACAAGCTACTAGAATTCTGCTGTTTATAGGTTTGTGAATACTATTAACAGCAAGATTTAATTTTTTAAGTTAAATACTAAATAATTTGTGTTCAGATAAAAAAGTAAGTGTACAACTTTTCCTGGCAGGTACAAAACGTTATCATGCCTCCTTACTCCAGATTCCCAGCGTAGAACTGACGAACGGAGCACAAGTTGAGAAGGAGCAGGACCACCAACGCCCTTGAGACGCCACGGATTCTGAAAGCGAACCCTTCCAAGTCTTTAAGTCCCGGTGACGGGGAAATCACTCATTCGATAACTTCACGAATTCGCACACACTCATACAACACAGACACACCGACTAGGGTTTGCGAGTCACCTCTCTACGCCAATCTACTCAGCTGCTCTTCACCTTGCCGTTGTTGTCCTTGGCGCTGATCACGTTGTTGTTGACGAGTAGGAGCCCGTTGCTGTTGCTGATCATTTGCTGGTGCTTGTCGTCGCGAAGCGCGGCCGCCTGCTGCCTCTTGGGAGCTAAGATGTAGGTGCGGTAGTAGAAGGAGCCGAACATGTACATGAAGAGGACGGCGTTGAAGGTAAGAAGGGACGCGATGGCTTTGGGGTAGTCGCACTGGCGGTACAGGGGCTGAGATGCGTGGAAGAACACTATGACGAACTGCACCAGTTGGACGATGGTGACCCAGGGCTTCCAGCCCAGGTACTTCTTGGTGCCGGGGATGGCGGCCAGCATGTAGTAGCAGTACATGACGACGTGCACCAGGCAGTTGATGAGCCCGATGAAGGTGCCGTGGCCGCCGGGGAGGAACTTGGTGCCAACCCACGCGCACAGCGGCATCACGGTGTGGTGGTACATGTGCAGGAAGGACAACTGGTTGTTCTTCTTGCGGAGGACGAAGAACACCTGGTGGAGAAGGGAAAGTGATGCGTGACGCACAGGGTAAGGGGTGAATTTTCCTGCTAAGGGGTGTTGCGTTTCAACTTACCGTGTCTAAAAGCTCGATGACTTTAAACGCGAAGTACCACCATACTGCTCCAGCCATCTGCACAAAAGGAGTACAGGAGATTACTTTACTGGAGAACAATGTTTCAATTTTGATAGATAGAAACTGTTTTTTGACGGAAGGAGGCTTACCCTCATTGCCTGGGGACTCGTCGAGGTGCCCACCGGTTGGCACGTGTAGTCGTATTCGTTCATCCAACCCCCGTACATGCCCTGCAAACACGTTAAATGTGAGTCAACGCTGTCAATGCAGCCATGTGGCAGCCTCCGCAGCAGTAACAAGATAATAGTTTGTTGTTTTCTTATTTTTTTTTGTCAAGGACCATACAGGCGCTCTGGTTTCTTTCACTCACATCCTCCTACCCCCTCTCACCATCTGCCACGGATCAGCACCTGTCTGTCTACAACCCAGGTCCTGAACTCACCTCTGTGAAGAGCCAGGCGCTGCCGATCATCTGTAGGAAGTTGTAGGCGATGAGGACGCCGGTGAGCTTGAAGGGCTGCCGGTCCTGCATTATCCTGGGGCCGACCGAGGTGCAGCCGTACACGTACACCACCAGGAGCGCCAGAAGCGGCCACGGCGAGGACATCATGAACCAGTCCTTTGTGCGCGGGTCTGCAAAGAGGACGTGCAGGATGAGAAGGAGGAGCTGAGCGAGTAGCGGTCCGGGAGCAGAGCGCCTGCGGCCCGCCGGGTGGGCAGCCGCGCCAGACACGCCTGCCCGGCGGGCCGGTATCCGCGAGTTCGCAGGCGCCTCAGCGGCGCTACAGAGGCGCTACTCACCCTCATTCTCCCTGACTAGTCGGTTCACCTCCGCCACGGCATCCGTGATGATGCTCGTCATGGTGATTAAATCTGCAACAACAATAAAAGGTGTGAAAATTAATGACAATTTCCTATTGATACATTTTTATTTTTATTTTTTGGAAATCTTTTTGGTCTGCCCCCAGCGGATCGGACGGACAGTGCCGTGCAGCCGGAGATGCTCTGCTTTCGCCGCGACAACTTGTCAGCTTACGGGTCACAACACGACCACCGCCGCGCCCCCGGGCGACAACTCGCATCACGCCTTGGGACAGCCCCGCCCCCGCCCCGGCCCCGTTCCCGTCCCGCCCGGCGCGTCTCGTCTCGCCACCATGCACTCCCACACTCGAGCCCACACTCCTAACGCAGGTGAGTGCTCGAAGTTCAAGACCGGCCTTCAGCTGCCTGCGGCTGCGCTCCTAGGGGGAGGGCGGTCGGCCCCCCTCGAAACCCACTGAGGGGGCCTGGGGGACCCTCCTCGGGGTACCCTCCCCCCCTCCCGCCCCGCCGCTGCTCGCGACCTGCGCAATGTTGGCCCCACGCAACGCGCCTCTGCGGGCGGGGAACCCACGGGGGAACCCCTCCCTGTGCCCTTTCGGAAACATGCTTCATCGGTACGGCGCTGAGCAGCGATGAAGACCCAAGCCCCCCCCCCCCTCTCCCTACCCACAATTTCTCTGTCTCTCTTCTCCTCTTATATTTCGCTTTCTGTCGTTGGCCTGTCCCCGCCTCGGCCTTGGCGCGGCCCTACCTCCTCCAGACGCTGGAGAGAGGGGCGCTCGCGCACTCGCTGGAGAGCGCGTTGCGCCACGTGTCTGTCTGGACGGACGGGTGGACCGACCGGGGTGATGCGAAGCGAACGAGACGAGACAAGAGACGAGAGACGAGACGCCGTGGTCCATTTGCGCTGCTCAGCTTCGGGCGCCGTGCGGCGCTGCTCGGCTGCCGAAATATCACAACACAAACTACACGGCGCACCGAGGACTTTTTCTTTGCCCTTTTTCTTTAACGCTCCTTGTGGCTTAATCTCTCGCAACGCCCTAGGCGTTGTGGGGGGAGGGGGGGGGGAGCAGATCATATCCGGACGCACAGCAGCAGACCGCGCTCTCCAGGCGTCCGCTCTGGGGACCGACCGACTACCGCTCTCTTAAGAAACATGGGGCTTCCTCTTTTTCATCATCATCATTTTCTTCTCTTCTTCCACTTCAATCTCAACCCAGTTATCATAGGCCTCGCTCTTCTGCTCTGTTTCGTACAATGTGCGTCACCCCGGCTTGATCCCCTCTCGCTCCGGGTCGCGCCGCGGGTCCGGCCGGGCCTGCACCACCGTGCTAATGCGCACACTCTCACTTTTGTTGTTGCGTCAAAGGTGTCGCGGTCGGACCCATACTTACACCCGCGCTCGGTCACGTGTCTGCGGTCCGAGTGCTGTGGCCACTTACACGGCGGGCCCGCCCCAAAAATGTGCACCTCTATAACCACGTTACGGGAGAAAATACTTCATGAATGCTTTGGAGAGCTTCCCTGGAATACATGATATTCAAGTACATTTTTCCTTGGGTAACATTTTTGCTTAATCAAGAATAATTGGGATTGAGACGATTGAGACCCGCTAAACGAAGACAACAAAAGTTTTCCCGGTGCACATTGAGGTGCACCCACAAAAGATAGCTTCTCTGTTAAAAATTTTGGGGGAGATTTTACAGAAAAAGTCTAGGTATACTGGTTGCCAAGTGAAAGTCTGGTAAAATTACCACTGCTTGTAAAATTACTTTGGTTTACTGCTTGAAAAAATGTATGGAAAATTTTCCCTTGTTCTAAAAAATTTCCTCTGTTTGACGACAAATTTCATTGAGCTCAAGATTTTCTTCAAATTAATCCTTTTTCCTTGAAGAAATGAAAACAAAATCAAGAAGAAATGAAAACAAAATCGTTTTGTGTATTTCAAGCCAATTTCGTTGATTTGAGCAGGCTAATTTCAAGGGAATTCCCTTGTTCCGAGGTGCACTTCCGCCCGCCAACGCCCCTGGGCACGCCGCGCTCGCCTCCGGATCGAGATCACTTTGGGCGCCGCCTCTGCTCTTGCCGCAGCCCGCGGGATAAGCGAGGGATAACCACACGACACACTGCAGAGAAGCAGCGGATGAGCGCGAAATGACAATGAGACGTCGAGCGAGCCTGCAGCAGCAGCGCGCCTGCGTGCATCCGGCCCGGTCCGCCCGCAGCATGCCTTGGCCAGGTGCTGGTGCTGCTGTGGTTTGCTCGGGTCGTGCGGTTTTGTGCGGGCTTCGCACCGCTTCGCACTTGCTCACGTGTTGAACCGTTTTGTTATTCGGCTCCTGCCTGATAGACATAGGCGGCGCCAAGGTATCCACCACCCGGCCTCGGCCCTGTGGCCCCCTATCCGGCAGAGAAAAAGGATACAATAATAGCAACTTTACTTCTTGCGGCCGGCCGGAGGGGAGGAAACGGAAGGGAGGCCGACGGGGG